CGTACACATCATTTAAATGTAGGTACATTGTTAAGTAGATTAAACTTTTTACGCAAGCATATTGTGTTACTCTGCGCAACTCATTGTTTGTTCGTATTCATAGACAATTTCTAAGGTATCTATTTTTTTTTTATGGATGAAAAGGTAATCGTAACTTCGCCTGTGCTATTGTTTTTTTTTTATGGATGATAATGGAATGGCCATCCCGCCCGCGCTGACGGTATACACTGAAGGAATACCAGAGATAAATGACAGGTGAGAATGAAAAGGCAGGTCAATTAGCCCATCGTAATGAATACAACTGGGATTCAGCACGGTGGTTTCCAGGGGTGGCCACGTGGAGGTAGATCTGACAGGGTGTGTTGCTAGCAATGAGACTGATAATCCGTCTTATTAACAATTCCTAACCCCCTCCTGTGCTATTTGTTTTCTCTGTGCACCAGTGAGAAGGTGAGACTGAAGTCAGGGCGGTTAGCCCATCGAAACTAATTAAGCTAAACTATTAATAGGCTTATAGGTAACAAACAAACAAACACATTTCACATTTTTAACAATACTTACTAGCTTTTACCCGTAATTTTGTCCGCGTGACTAAAATATATTCATTGACTAGATAGAAAGTAACCTATATCCTTCTCCATCCCAGTTTGTAGCTGTATATCAAATTTCATAGTAATTGCTTAAGCAGTTAAGCCACCAAAAGGTAACAAACAAACGCACTTACACATTTATAAAATTAGTGAGAAGGTAAGGAAAGTAAGGATATATTAACTAAGTAAGCACTCATATTAAAGATTTGATTATTTATTTGTAATGGACAAACATAAAAACAACTTTACTATTTTTTAAAATTCTACTACTTCTTTCACCTACAGAAAACTAAATTGTCGCAAATAACAAAGCCTATATTTTGTTTTTGAAAGCTCTATCTACCCGTGCAAAATCAGACCGGATGTACTAGTCTTGTAATAAAATTTGGTTAACTCCCAATGAAAAGAGTTGATAATGAATGAAAAGAACTAATATAAAGAATGATAGATTAGACTACACGTGTATCACAGGACTAGAATCTGAAGCATGAAATTTGCTCAGTTTCTTATGTAACGTAAATAATCATAAAGGAGGGTGTTAAGAAAGTAGCTGATTTAAATAGTAACTTGTTAGCACACGTGGAAGCGAAAGTAATAATATAAGACCAAGGCTGGGTCCGGGTTCTAGGTCCCATAAAAGAAGTTCGTATGTCAAAATAGTACAGACTCACCTTGACTGCAGATTTAGCGTAAGTGGTACACGCTTAGGAGCCACCAGGTTTTAGGAAGCCATGCCACGTGATTGTCTCAATGGCGCGGTTCTCTTTTGGTCTATTCGTAAAAACTACACTATATACATATATCAGGTAAATAATTAACAATAAACAATAAGTCAGGTGAATCGGTAGAATATTACGCGATTGGGGGGTATTACGATATTTACATGAATGTGACTTTCTTAAACAAAGGGATTTCTCGAAATTCCCACGGGAATTGGAGATAAAACATTAGCGCGGTCAAATTTTAATATCCAACAACAAAATAATTTCAACTGTAGAAGCTCAACAATGGTTTTACTCTACAGTGAATTGTGCTTAAAGTAATCGTTACAATTTTACGCAATCATTTGAATAATTTAAATTGATATCGAATATAACTGGAACGTGACAGAAGGGGTTCGTTATAGTCAAGTATGAAGCCATAACATAAATATCACCAACTCACATCTTAAATCTACCATTCACTGTAAACGCTTTACAATATTTCACTATGTAGGTATTATGTTAATAATCCTACTATAGTACGTTCAGTGTTAATCTACTAAATGATTATAGATGAGAATGATCTAAACTGCTAAGAGTTATTTTGAGTGACTAAAAATAATGTAGCTGTATTTTTTAAATAAGGCGATTCTCGAAGTATCATCATAGGGTGAATTTTTTAATCAATATTTTCGTTAATTCTAAACCGAATTTGATTCTTATTTTAGAAAGAAACCGACTCCTTAGTTGTCTGGTAGCTATACAGGATACGAGCACAGCTTCAGCTATACGTAGATATGTCATATGCTTAACCAAACTTTGGAACCAACACCCAACAGCAGTGCTTCCGAACAAATACGACATTGAAATCTTCAAGAAAAGATCATATTCCTTCTTAAAAAGCCGAAAACATGCCTGCAATTTCCCTAATGTTGCAGATGAGTTGTGGCTTGATATAGCCATGTGCGTATAGGCGGTGATAGTCATTAACTATCAGGTGAGCCTGATGCTCGGCAAACAAACATGCGACTTACCTGATGGTAACCCTATTTTATGAAGAAAATATCTGAGAATATATAGAGGGGATTTGCCAGTAGTTGTTACGCTTGGGAATAGGGTTGGAAACCACAATTAGGTTTTGGTGATGATTTAAAAGTGACGCTGCTACCTGTCCCTCGACAATTAAGTTCCCTTATTCGCCCCTTACAACACCCATTGGAAAAGAAGTGGTATTCCCTTCTATGCCGGGACCACACACCAAAAACTTACAAATTGCAAATCTAGCTGCTGGAATCTGCGATCACAATTGCAAACCCACGTCCTCACTATGAATACGTTCAATACAATAAAATAATATCGACCAAGGCCATATGTACCCGGATCGAAGATTTCTCGGTGAGTGGTTTGAACTGTGAACTATTGTGTCGAACTTATCTGCCATTGTTGTTAAAACTTTAAAGAATGTCAAAGCGACACACCCGCTCCCTCTTTGAAGTGAATACAGCGTGTCAGAGTTGAGTGATGTCAATAGAAATGGACAAGCGTGTGTTGGATATGCGTTAAATTTGTTTCTGATTTGTTGACACCATCCTAATCGGATGGAAAAATACACTCACGGCTATAATTCCTAATAGGATAGAGAGCATTTCTTGGCTACTACATTTTACTACATTTTGTCTAATTAGTCAGGAATAGTTTTGCAAAATAATATGCATTAACAGTGTTTTCCATCACCCAAAACTTGGTCAGAAATTCGATATTTATACAAACTTTATTCATTGTTATTAGTCAGACTAGACCTACATTGGTCTTAGAACCTTAGGGATTTAAAACTAGCGATAGAACATACCTAAATACAATTTCACAGTGAAAATGTTAGGAGAAGAAACCATTATAAGTTATTTTATACCAAAACAATATATTTTTTTTTTTTATAAAACTTAGAATGGCAAACAAGCTGACGGCCCACCTGATGGAAAGTGGTAACCGTCGCCTATAGACATGAGCAGTACCATGGACATAACAGAGTATACTGTTTCGCCCATGATACCCCCCATGCGTTGCCATTCCTGAGGACTCAGGTGTTATTCCTCTGTACCCAGTAAATTCACGCCATATCCCACCCTTCAAACCGAAACACAGCCATGCAAACACAACTGCTTCACGGTTGAAATACGAATGGGACAGAGGTACCCAAGCAATCGACTTTTGTACAAAGTCTCCCTCTGGTAAATAACTGTGCCTTTCTTTATCTCAAATAGTGTTATGCCAAATTTCGTAACCATTGGTTGAGGAGTTAAAGCGAAGAAGTAATAAACTCACTTTCATATTTAGAATATAAGTAAGAATAACATAGTAAGGCTTTTTAATTACCACGTAATTTTAGACATAGTTTACGAGTGCGCATATGTGCGCGCGTGTGTGTGTGTGTGTGCATGTACGTGTGTGTGTGTGTGTGTGCATGTACGTGTGTGTGTGTGTGTGCATGTACGTGTGCGTGTGTGTATGTGTGCGTACGTGTGCGTGTGCATGTGCGTGTGCGTGTGAGTGTGTGTTAACATAAATTCAAAAGAGTAAAGTGTTGAGTTTCTTGCAAGTTCTTCTCCACAAAATACCTTCCAACCCCTGATGATTTAAAAGTGCTTGTAAAGAATTCTATTTAATAAAGATAATTTGAATTTGATAATAAATAAAAAATATTTTCACACAAGTAAGTAGGAGAAGTTCAATCTTCATTTTCTATTTTAAACATACTTCTTTCTCTTTTCCGTACACACGTGTAGTCCATACAACTGATAACATATAAACTTAATGTGTACAGAATTGTCAAAAGGAAACTTTCATTTCGTTTCGTCAAATCAACAAAGGATCACTAAAAGCTCTTTAGTTACTCGAGAGAGACGCTACGACCTTGAGTTGTCATTCGCTGTTTCACTTTTATTGTAACCGCAACACGGTACCTATGTTATGTACATACTAGTTAAGATTTATGCTCCGCCAATAAAAGTCACGGAGCGCATGTCAAAATAATGAAAGTTAATTCAAACAAACTGTTTTATGAGTTTATTGATATGATTGTCGATAATTAAGTCATTCATTGATATACAACAACTATAGATGTAGTAAACGTAGTAGATATTTGTTATATAAGAAAAAAATATATGAAGTTTTAGAAATATTTCAATACAATATTTTTAACTCTAACTTTCTACTCAATTTTGATACGTAAGTATGTATCAAAATTATTAAAATATTAATTTGACTGTAATAAAATGTTGCACAAATTTTATATTACTAGACCCATCAGTATCAGCCATATCTTTCATCCCAACTATCACGTAGGTGTATGCAAACTTTTAAAATGATTGTTTGATCACTTTATGTATCAAGAGATAATAAAAATAAGACCATTTTCACATTTATAACATTGTCAAACAATCAATTAAATAATTTACTTTGCAAAAACACAAGTTATATAAATTATGTAGCTGTTCATTTGCATACATTTTTTAGAGCATAATAAATAAGTAAAAATGAAAACAATACATGCTGCTTTTGTCTATTCTCTGATCACTGTATCTCTTGAGACACCTTCAAGCGAGAAAATTGTACTAATGTAATCTCATGGAACTGTCTTTAATAAGCTGTAAACGACCAGTTAGTATCTATGAGCTCTAGCAATATTTTAATTCGAAATATTTAATTACAGGTGGTGCTAGTCCGTGGCCATTACGTGTCGTACCTGCCGCTGTGCAGCCGTAACGAGCCAGTGTTCCTGGCGGTGTGCACGCCGCTCGCGATGCCCGAGACGCGCGAGTGCGTCGTACACGGCGCCACCAACGTGTTCACCACCGTGCACGCGATGGACATGAAGATACTACACATCGACGCCAAGTAAGTTACCCGCGCTGCGTGTTGCATCCACCGATACCTGCCTCGCCTGCCGCTGTGCAGCCGCAACGAATCAGTGTTTCCCATCCTCCTACAGGATATACATCGTTGCCCTAAAAAAATAACGTTCCATTGGGTACATTTTGCACATCAATGCAAAATCTTGATTAAAGAACTTCTCGTGATAAATAGATTAAAAATATCTACACACAATCGCAACTCGCTCTCGTATTGCAGGCTTTAACTTCACATATAAAAGAATATACAAAATGCAAAGATGTAAGGGTAATTTTTAAGCACATTATTCTACTATCAAAATTAAATATTTATTATTATTATATCAGTCATTAACTATCCACTGCTAAACATAGGCCTTCCCCATAACAGGAGTTTTGTCAATAATTGCTACGCTTGGCAGGCAGGTTTCCAATCGCAGTAAGGCTTTGAAGAAGCTTTCAAGAGGAATGAGTGAAAAAATATATTGATTTTGCCAAAATAAAGTTTCTGTCACTAAGCTATTGCGCTTGTATGATTTCCAATTTGAAAGATACAATATAGCAAAGAAATTAAAGAGTTACGGTGTTCATAAGGTCTTAGTCATCAGGAAGATTAATATATTAGAGATACCATGGGCGACACATTGTATTCTATAGTCTTCATGATGTATTTTATAATGATTTTTGTATCATATCAGCCATTAATTGCCCACTGCTGAACATAAGTCTTTCACATAAGGAGAATTTTACCAGTAGCTGCCACTCTTAGCAAGCGAGTTGACAACCGCAATTAGATTTTAGTGATATTTTAAGAGGGACGATGCTGCACTATAAGATTCTTTAGTCACCTCTTACGACACCCATGGGACAACACGAGGTGGGCCATTCTATGCCGGAACCACATGGCGTTTACACCATGTTCATATTTATAGGCGACAGTTACCATTTTCCATCAAGTGAACCGCCAGCTTGTTTACCGTACTATGTAAAACAAAATTTTTTCACAATATAACTGTCTACTATACTAGATAAATACAACATTAAATTATGATACACTATGTAAACTTCCTACTGCATAATACATATAGTTCAAGGCGGTAAACAATGAACAATGGTTGTTGATGTTAGCTGTCGAGCTACCGTATGTCAAAGCGAGATGTATGACATCTATATTGAGTGCTTCTTATTCATGAATCGCAGCACCGCATCAAAGGCCTTAAATAATAAAACGAGTTGGAAACATATGCAATTGTAAACAGTGCCTCAATGGGGGAGATGACTCCGGTGCCTTCCACAATGTAAGGCAGTAGAGAGGAAAATTAAATAAATATCACTTTACGGTTATAACAATTGTTTAGTCTGCAAATTAGGATATTTTATGCTAGAAATCACTACTTATGTACGTATATGTAAGTATAGTGAATGATATATTGAAAAAGTCAATTAAAAAACTTTGAAGAGAATATAAAAAGAGATTTATAAATTCAAAGTTGTCTTAAGAAGTGGTTGCCCCATAAAGAGGATTGGTTTTAATTTGGCAATATTGTAAATTTATTTCTAACTTAGAACAAATTTTTTTTTAATTTTATATCAATATTATTACAATGAAAAAACTTGTGTTCTTTTACAATTTGTTGCAATAAATACTTGACCGGTTTCGTGTTTCAAGGCATTTTCAAATTCATTTAGTTAACGATTAAAATATATAAATAGTCTGTTTACGGTATGCCTGTACTTAATATATTCTATAGACCTGTTTATTTTATGTCGACTTTTGTTGCCTGAAATATAGATATTAATATTAAAATTTGCCATTCATAAATAGCTTATTACCATGAAACAAATGATATAATGCCAGTAAACATAATATATAAGGCAAGTGGCATTGTTTGAGCGTATCACTGTACAAACAACGAAAGATTGTCACCTGCCCGGGACGCAACTTTGCATACAATGATAGTTAGTACAAGCTCCCTCAGAAGTTAATGTTTATACCCACACACAATCTTACATGTTTAATTCAGACAGTAGCGGATTGATGTAAGAAATATGATTTGTAAAAAATAGGTAGTGTTTTGTTTTACGTTTATTATAATTTAATTATCTCTTCGAAATGTATCTTTATTTGCTTGTTTAATATTTTAAATTGCAATCTCACAGATTCCTTGGTAATAGAATCTTATGTTTGGTTCTTTGTTTAGTATAGGTGATTTTATATTTATTTCTTTTTCTGAATTGAATCCAGATATTGAATTACTTGAGTTGTTAACAACATCTACTTACCAGAGAGTTTTCTTATCTTATTTCTGTATATGCGGTTTGATTATTTGCATGTTGTACTTTGCCTTATGCAATCTTTTCCTAAATCCTCCGTCTTTTTTATCGTCTTGTAGATTTTCTTTATTATTAATGAATCTAGTAATTCGACATACGAAGTAGTACTAAATCTCAATATATTTTTCTTTTATTATACAAAATATTGTAATAATATCATTACGTTTTGTTTTTATTGTACTTACTGTAAGTAAGACATGATTACATAAGGTTTACTTTAAGTGTATTTTAATTTAACAAATAAAAGCTCTATTACGCCGTTTAAAATGTCATCCCATACTCATAAAAGCATTAATCTTCTAACAAACCTGTATCAATATAACTTATTACTGGAATCACCATTATACAATTATATGAGTGTAAACTCATATAAAATAACAATTTAGCAACTGAGACTTGCTTATTTCAATTTAATTTCATGAGTCATTTTTACGTAACTGCATTTTTATTAACCTTCCTCAAAGTTCACCTTATAAAATCACGGATCTGATCTCCAATATTATATTTCCTGTTGTGTTTTCGCAAAGATCTTGCACAGTTGACCGATAACCAATTGTAACAAAGGTCAGCTGTCCTCGTAATGCGACTTTAAAAATATTTAATCTTGAATTAGTAGATTTTTTAAATGTATCATAAAAGACTCATTACAGATTAATATTCGAGATAAATTTAATCATACAAGCACAAAAAGTTTAAGACCGTATAATGAGGTACTTTGACAAATGGCCTATCAAGTTGAACGCAACGACAGTTCTTATTGCACAGGTTCAGGACTTAAATCTAAATAAATAGACGCGGTAATCCCAAATGCAGTAACAGGGGTTATCTATAACACTATGGAATCAATGCTCAGTAGAAGTATTTTTAAATATAAGCGACTTTGAAGCGTCGACATACAACAATGTTATGGGTACTCATGGACAGCGGTATTCACTGTCAGATGAACCGCATGCTCATTTGTCCTCTGTGTTTGTTTGTAGAAACCGGATAGTTTCTAAATTTAATTACAAAAAAATTTATAAAGATTACAGTCTAGTTTTACAGTTCGGCTTTATTTCGATCAACATTTTGACAAAGATTTCCAAACAATAAAGTAATGTATAATTCTCAAAACCATTGTTGATAAGTCTTTGCCATTTTTTTACTTTATTATAGTTGCAACAATCACAAAATTTCAAATAATACCTAACAGTGCTAATGTTATTAGCTTTTTTAATAAATTTTGTACACAACCTCTCTATTTATTTATGAACTCTATTTATAAGTATGCTTGTTGCTTCCTGTATGGTATAAAAAAAATTAAATCGAATGAGTATTAATATCTAATAAAAAAAAGAAAACAAAAACCCGACCTCGACCGATTTTTCAATAATGATTTAGTGGATTATTTTCTTGACTACCATCTTCATATTGTGAAATATCTTCATTTCATTACGTCCAGACAAACTTAATATGAACTTTACGTCTTTGTAATAAGTAACATTAAACAAAGAATGTTATTTAATAAAGCGAATAATATTTGCGTTTGTTTTATCGACAGTACTTCAATTTGGAGAGTTTTCTTAGTAACATGTTGGTCAGGGACTTGAAGCTTTGTTATGTTAGATTATTGAATTTACTGTTTATTTTACATTTGGAGAGTACCTGTGTCTATTTGGATTAGGATAGGCAATCAATGAGCATCCATCATGGTTGGGAAAGGATTCTGATGTTCGTTATTTAAATTCTTGGAAAACCGTTATAATTTGAAAGACAATATTGGCATGTTATTCGAATTTTAAATTAAAGTATTACGATTTTATTGGATTAATTAAATTTTTAAATCAAGAACATAATTAAAAAGAAATGCCTTTATTATATCTATGGCATCAATAAAATTAATGATTTTTCCTATACACTATGCGTTAACACATCACTAACTTTAAACTGTAGAATAAGTATTATGAAATAAAAACTGTACCAACGCACCCAAACGGAATTGAATCTGTGTACCTATTGTGACTGCAAGGTCTCTACCATGATTGATTGCTAAGATGACCCTATCAGATATTTGTTTTGTTCATGTCAAGATCACTTTAATTACATTTATCATTATTTTAATTGACTGTCTTGCTTTAACTTGTAAACTAAATAGGTTAATTTAAAGCTTTCTTGTCTCTGGTCCAAACTTTTGTTCAATAATTAATGAGGTTGTGTTTGTTGTTGCAATTCAGTGGCAGTTGTAGTAATAATTAATTGAAAACACAAGGAGTTCTTGATTAAAATTAGTACACGGTTTTAAAATTGATCTTGTATGTATGCATTCATCCATCAATCATAGATCATACACTGAAATGACAACTATAACCCAACTTCAAGTTACTTATCTATGGCAAGAATAATTCAAACTATTCTTAGTCTATAGCCAAAATAATTCAACCTAAAAAACTAACCAACCATAGACGAGTATAAAGTAATACAAATAAAAATAATTTATTTTTTTTAATGTAATGATTTGTTACTAATGATCATTGGCATATTTAAGTTTATTTTCCAGGATAAGCTTGGTCCTTAATAAAGATACATATGTGTTTCTGACATGTTTTTGCGACCACCGCTGCCCTCAAATGCTATTTTTACCTAACGGTTAGCTGGTAAAGAATGCCATACGATGTTAAACTCGCCGTTTGTACAAATTTTATTATGCAATAAAGAATAAATAAATAATTACAAATTCATTAATCGTTTGTAATCGTGATTTGCGTCATCTGTGGTTTAAGCTCATATAATAAAAGTAAATGACCTAATATATTTGTTTCTGTCCAGTAGTGAGTGGCACCTTGGCTGGGAGCGCAGTTCGCTGCATGGAGTCAGCTGGTACCATCTCCTGCACCCTGACTGCTGTAAAGAAGCCCAGAGTAAACATCGATTAAGTAAGTGTCTCTTTCTTTATTATAATAGCTGTAATTGTCAGCACTTGATGAAACTTTGTATACATATTGATATTATTAAAAAACAATTATATTTTTCTACAAAAAAAGGTTTTATAATAAATGCCAGACCGGCTTCGCTGTATTTTCTAGAGCATTTTGAAAGGATAATTTTTATAGTAAATTTTTTCCCGTGCAGTCAAATGAAGAATCAAAGTCAAGCTCATGACTAAGGGTTCCGTATGAGCACAGAACTTGTTGGATTTCTCGACACATAAGATAATGCGATCACTATTGCATTAAAACAGAAATGAAGAATAGCTGTAGAATTAGTCTGTTAGAATATATAATTCCACTTGTTCTGTAATAAATTTTAAATATAACATATATTTTATGACTATCTATGCATGCATTATATGAAATCTAATTGCTGCATTAAAATTTAAAAGGACTTAAGTGAAACTATTAGGATCCTGAAGTCGTTTTGAGCACCTTTGCCCCATTCATATTTCTGGCATCAAGCAGCAATGTTTGCATTGCCACAGATAATATAATACTATGTACCGATTTTAAGGGTAGTATATGATATTAAAATCGCAGAGTACGGAAGCTTAATTCTAGAAAATGGTAAAGCAAGAAGAATACCATATTGTATTCTGAAGTGTCTTCAGTACTTTTAGTCACGATAGGTGCCATTTTTTATCACGTGAGCCATCTGATTTACCATTTTAAGTTGAATGTAAAAATAAAAATCAAATATTTTAAATAAAAATTATTTTCCCAAGCCTATAAAAATTCACAAAAAAAGTTTGTATCATAGTTTGTGGTAGTCATAAAGATTCATAACTAGAAACGCCCGCATATATTTAATACGAGCATTGAACGCTACAGACGTGTGAAAATGACATGCCTCAATGTTCCGCATTCAAAATCTCTTCAATCTAATTTAACGTTACAAAACATAGTACGATCTCGCGATTGTACTCGATAACCTGTGACAATATGAGTGCGTTTAACTCGATTTATCCAGGGAAAGTTGCATGTCGGCGGCGTGACGTTCGTGTGTGAACTACGGAATACGTGAGCGATTAAATCCGAATCGAGAACTCGAGTACTATAGGGTTTGCCACTTGTGAAACACAGTATGCAATTAATGTTTGTAAAATAATATTCTTATTATATATATTTTTAATTCGTGCTGAGAAGAGCATGTAAAGCTGTTGACGAAGGTGGCGTGGAAACTTGACAGCAGAATTTGACGCTCACGTACACTATTTTGTATAAAATTACTAATAGTAGCATTATAAAAATGTAGAGAGTCATAGGCTTGTTGAACATTGCATTCATCACAATGATAACAATAAATAAATGCCTCTGTCTGCCCTATCAGGTATTGTAGTTGTGAGTATACAATATATAGAGATGAAATTTGCCTACAACACAGTAATTACTACATATATAGGTGCTCATATATTAATATATAATATGAATCATTAACTGCTTATATAAAAGATATAGAGTAATAAAAATAAATATCAAATCGAACTAACTGCATAAATCTAAAAATATTACTGACATACCAATTGTAAAGAAAATATTATTTATTGAATTAGTGTCAACCCTAGAGCGAACTCTGCCAAACTATTAAAGCATAGACAAACAACTTTATGTTGTATGCATTTGTGGCGTGAAATTCTAAATTTGAAATCCTATAGCGGTACTCGTGACTGTGGCTGACAGAAATTAAGTAGCTTAGCTAAATTCAAAATTGGAACACTCGCTAAGCCAAAGCGTAAAGATGTGCTTCCCAGGTCGAGTGACAGGTGACAAGAAGGTTGCATGCGTTGCACCGTACTGCAAGATTTATGGCGCCAAATCTGTTGTACTGTTTTATCAACGTATATATTTAAGCTTAAATTATAAATAATCTATAGAACAATTATGAAAATTACTGAAAAGAAAAGCAAGATGTTAAACTACCTTACACAATATGACAAATTTATAAAGAACACTTTGTAAAGAACCATAAAAGAAGAAGGAGGAGAAGAATAAAAAATAACTACGTTGGCCAGATAAAGAAAGCTAATACAATAGTAACAGCTATAATAGCCTCAGATTGTAGAATTCTAAATTACATGCAATTATCTGGATATCATTAGCAAATAAAATAATACTTACAGTTTACCAATACATTATATGTATTTTAAATTCCTCAACAAACTTAAGTCTCTATGAATATCAATACGTTACTCGGCTATGAAACATCCACAATACAATTCAGTGGTTTCATTATATTACCTGCCAACTTTTGAAATATCAAAACACTTGTTAATTAATTTATGAAACTAAACTTAACAACGTGAACAACAACTAGGTAAAGTATACTATTAAATGTACAATAATATAGAAATTATTAATAACGTTGATGAGAGTTGTGGGCGACAAAGGAAACCAGGAATAGAAATTGGAAATATATGTATAATGTTCAAAGTAACTTAGAAGACTAGGGCCGAGAAGGCAAGCCAAAAGGAAACAATAGATATGCGTGTCAATTTCGAATTTGGTAAATAATAATATATAGCTATAAATAATATATGTGGCCTGTATTCCACAAGAGTAGTATAGGGAAATCTATAATATGGTCTAAGATATAGACAATTGGAGAAGATACATGATTTATGTTGATAAATGAAGATGTATGAAGATAAATGTCCTGATAAGAGAAAACTATAATATTACAAAATACGAGTATAAGAAAGTTCCTGTATGTACCATAGTACATACAGATAGTTATGATATGTTACATGTATATGATAAATAAGAAGTATATATTAAAATATTATATGCTTCTTGTGTCATGCATGCATTTTATAGAAAAAATGCACTATTTCAATACATATACAAAATTGTATTATTATATTCCACGGCAGCTGACATTATTTTCATCTCATTGAAAACAAATTCCATTGAACGCCAAATTACATATCCTAGCCATATCATTTCCAAAGGTCATACAGTCATACTGATTATCAAATCATTCGAATGATTTGTTTACGCGGTGCGCCTCGATCCATACAATCTTAGTTTCGATATAACAAATCGATTGTCATCGAAATATGAATCATATTTCAAAGCTTCAAGTGTAGAGGCTGACATTTGAGGAATGCGCATGAGCTTGTAAGAATAATGGGGGTTAACAAGATGCGATTATTTCTGCAATTTTGTTCCCGTCTATTGGTTTTAAGTCACACAAGATCGACGGCACAGTGTTTATGGTTATTTACTATGGATCTGGTAACTAGCATGGGTTTATCTGAAAGTAGTCATTTTAAACATGCACGCGAAGTGGGTTTGATTTGTGAACGCACTCGCTACATCTACCTACGCTCTCTTTACGAATGATATGAGTGTAAATAGGAGTAATTAATTTTATTTGACTTGTTGGTACAAATCACGTGAAATGGTGTATGTAAATGCGTTAACTTAGTGGGTATCTGTTTACATTACAGAGCTACGTACAAATTACTAGTACTTCACTGTAACTATGTATTTAGTTTATATGTGAACACTTAAAGAATTTATACATTTATTTTGTTAACACAAATAAAAACAAGATGCACTACTAATAATTAATTTAATAGTTAAGTTATTGTGTTTCCCAAAAAAACCGACTTCAGTTATGACTAAACCCGTTGTTTTGAACTAAAAACTAAAGTATTGAACCGATTTTGATAAAACTTCTATGAAACCAATCTATAAGTATATCCTTTCAGAGAAGTATTTACCAAATCGGTTTATAACTGAGGGAGTTATGAGGTAACAAACGTAAAAAAATACTACCGAATTCTCAATTCGATAGTATTTTTATTATTCTTTTTTTTTTTTAACTATTAATAAAGTTATTTATATATTCGGTTTACCCAATGGTTGACTGGTAGAGAACACTGTCTGGTGTTAAGTCCGCCAAATGTACATAGAATTTTATTATGCATTAAAGTAGAAATAAATACACGCGTAATACTTACACCGATACCGGTGAGCAATGAAAAGTGAGAATGAAATTAGATTGGCCGGTTGTGACGAATTCACCAGGAATTAACTACGATGGTTTCCAGAGCAGACCTTGTGGAGGCCGACCTGATAGGGTATATTGCAATCAGATTATTATCCCCCATTACTAATAAACTCTTAGCTGTATAGGTTCCGGCATAGTATAGCCCACCCCTTTCTTCCCCGTGGGTATCGTAAGAGGCAACTAAGGGAGCTTATGACAGAGGGATGAACAGCATCGTCCGGTTTAAAACATCAGCAAACGCCAAACAATGATTGCAAATCCGCCTGTTAAGCGTGGCAACTACTGACAATTCCCCCCCTTATGGGGGAGGATACAGTAGTGGATACAATACATACAATAACAATACAGAAACTAATAAACTTTCCCTCCTTTTATGTAAGTTAATTCCTCGTTTCTGATTCATACAGTTTTCTAAGCTGAGTATCAACTGTTCATTCTGCCTGCTATATATAATTTAATGGCATATTTAAGATCATTATCTCACTATTTACATTTAATACAATTATTAACTAATGCCCCCGTAATCTAGTCTGCGTGGGACATATTTTACTCCATTATCTGATATTATTAGATAATTTCAACAATTATAAAGTTTACCTATAAATTTTCTGTTTTATTACAATTTATAACTTAAAGAAGCAATTAATTCAAAGTTTGATTAATTTATAGTAGATTGGTATTTAGTATTATGTGGGATATAATGAAAAGACAATCCAAATTCTGTTTTAACATGTTCTAATACAATTAGTCCATTCTAAAACTAATTTATACTAATATTATAATAAAATTTTGATTTTTTTATATTTATTTATTTACACTTTATTGCATACAAAGATTACATTAATATAAATTATTTTGATCATGTACAAAATGCGAGTATAGCTCTATAATTTTTTTTTAATGCGTGGTAATGGAATGGTAACCCCGT